ACAAGCCCCAACTTTCTAGTTGTAACTCCAGTCTCTTTCTCTTGCCATGGGTTGAGGCTGGTGTTGCTTGACAAATTGATGACAGACAGTCTAGCCTTGCGACTCAACAGTTCTGGCATCACCTAGGAGCTTGTTAAAAATTTGGAATCTCAGCACTATCCCCGGCTGACTGAATTAGAATCTGCATTTCAAGATCTCTAGGTGATTGTTTGCCTATTAAACTTTGAGAAGACTGGTCTAGAAGTGCATGGGCCTGCACAGTGTGGAACTGAACTCTTCTTCTTAATTCCATTACTGATTTACATTTTGGAAAGATCACTTACTGGTTTTCAAGAATCTCCGTTTTTTTTTCTCATCCATAAAATAAAAACAGTTTTTATCTTTCTTGGCAAAGCACTTGGGAGGCTAGAGGAGACAGACTATAAAGTGCCTTATGTGGTGAAGGGAATTAAAGTCTTGCTATTTTATGTTAGAAAACTAAAATATACTCTTGAGAGGAAGGGTAACAATTGCATTGGAAACACTTGACTGTCAGACAAAATTCATTTATGTTGCTCCAGAAGGCAAGGGAGGTGGAAATAATCAACTTGGCTTCTGTTTCTAATGGGAGAGAGACCAGTGGTCTTTTCTGCCAATCTTTTTTCTGGCTCTTTTTGCAATCTGGTACAATAAGAGAGATAATCTAGTGCTTTCTAATATGAAATTATAATTCAGAAAAATATTTAGATAAAAAGATAAAAGGGAAATTTTAAAAATATTACTTTATGGAGAAGCCTCTTAAAGGTACAGGATCAGCCCTGTTGGGTAAACAAGCCAGCACTAGTCTCCCCTATAGCAACTGGGAAGGACTCTCGCCTCTGCTTTGGGCTCAGGTGCAAACTCTGCTTTATTGTGTACTTATACACTTTGGGTCCTTTCTTGTCCTATGATTCTGTTTTATCATCTGCTTCTATTATTATTGGATGCTCATTTTACAGTCCTGTGCAGACCTAAGCATCAGCCGTTAGCAGCAGTGAAAACAGTTTAAAGTCCCTGGCTAGTGGACATGGTTGGATCACAGGTGTGTCCCCTGAGTATCTAGTGATATGTTGTACATCTCTCAGATTATGACACAAAAAAGCCAATAAGGGTATTTTCTTGACTCCTAACATCACCATTTATTATTTTATTGTCCTTATGGTTGTGGATGATTCTGGAATCAGGTTATTAGAGGTCAGACCTATAGTCTTTGAGTTTCAGATTTTCTCTGAGAAGAGATGGATGGCCGAGAGGCAAGAACATAGTGGTAATTCGCCTTTCATTTTTCCCCCATTTCTCCAACAGCTTTAACCTTATCTGAACATACTCACTCCTTACTATTATCTCCAATTTCTAAATGACCAAACAGAGAGTGTTCATTTTTTGGACACTATATGGTCAAGTTTTAGGCGAATTCTGTATTAACTTTCAGTAATCCTAACAAGTGCACTTTACCTGTGTGTTAATTTTAAAGTTCACTATTTCTTGGAGGATCAACTTACACACACATACACACACACACACTACACGCACACATTCACACTACACACACACACGTCTATGCGTAACCATGTCCTCCTGGCTAATACCCCCAAATTTAAGTTAGGGTAAGGAATTTGTGTGTGGGGGGAAGATAACCTCTGAAATCTTTAACATAAAGATAATATCTACCTATATAAAGATATTAAATAATAATAAAATTATCCAAAAAGTGAGTCCTGTTTATTTTTCATTTAAGGAATGTATTTTATGTTGTATTATTCTGAAATTCTAAAGTTATTTTCCTCTTTACCAATTTAATATCTGTTGAATTAGATATGTGGTCTTAATATCACCATTTTACTCTGACATAACTACAAATTAACATATTAGTCAAAAGTAATTTTATTTTCTATCACAACCTTTAATAGCACAACTAACCTGCTTGTTGAATGCAGAGAAATTTAAAGAAACCATTCTATTTATCTTGTTATATACTTGTTTGGTTTGCTTCTTGGAGTTTGTTAAATACACATTACTTACTTAAAAAACACTGTGGTATTGAAAGCTATGTATTTAGGCTTTCTTCAAAGTTGAGTCCTACCTGCCTAGCTATACAAAAAGGACATGCAAAGTTATTATGTCCTTGTATATCTGAATACTTCCAGAGTCCGCAACCCTATTGTTCTCTCTAAGAGTTAGATGTCTTTTTGTTTAATTTTCTTAAGACTTTCTAACGTCTCCAGCTTAACTCCTGGACTGTTACTATGCTTAGAATTTCTGCTGTGCAAGTATCATCAGTTATCATGATAATCTCATAAAAGCCTACTTTTAGTTACAGCTTTATTGAGATATATTTCACATACCATAAAACTCATGCATAAAAATGTACAGTTCAGTGGGATTTAGTATATTCACAGAGTTGTGCAACTATCTCCACAATCTGAGAATATTTCCAGCACCACAAAAAGAAACTCGTACACATTAGCTGTCATTCTCCATTCCCCTCCCCAGGCAACCACTAATCTACTTTCTGTCTCTATGGATTTGCTTCCTCTGGACGTTTCACATACATGGACTCATACAGTATGTGGTCTTTTGTGACTGGCTTCTTTTACTTAGCAGAATGTTTTCAAGGTTCATCCATGTTGTAGCATGTATCATTACTTCATTTCTTTTAATTACATCCATTCATCAGTTGATGAACTTTTAGGCTGTTCCAACCTTTTGTCTATATGAATAGCGCTGCTATTAACATTCGCGTGCAAGTTTTGTATTAACATATGTTTTTAATTCCTTTGAGTATATACCTAGGAGTGGAATTTCTGGGTCAAATGATAACTCTACATTTAGCATTTCGAAGAACTGCCAAACTGTTTTCTAAAGTGGTGGCTCCATTTTACATGCCCACCAGCAGTGTGTAAAAGTTCCCATTTCTTCACATCCTTGCTCCCGTCTATTATTGTCTGTCTTTTTAATTTTAACCATCCTGGTGGATGTGAAGCAGTATCTCATTGTAGTTTCGATTTGCATTTCTCTAATAACTAATGATGTTGTGCATCTTTTCATGTGCTTATTGACAGAAACCCATTGTTGATGTCTGTACACAGCCTGAGCCAAAAAACCTAATTGTGTTCAAATGCAGTTCTGAATATTTCCTCCCTTTTTTGAGACCGTTTTGGTAGAGAACAAACAGGTTTACTGACTAATATTTCAAGTCAGTTGCAAAGCCAGTCCAACATCTTTGCACTCCATTTAATGACAGAGTATCGGGAACACCTGGGGTAACTTTCTGGCAGTAGATGGACGAAAACTAATTATTGCTTAGAGATTTCTAATCTTACAAGAGTAAACTGTAAAGTAAGTGAAGTTTGCTTGGTTTTGATGCTCCTGGATTACTATTGTATGCTTTTCTCTCCCCTTTGGAGAGGCATCTTCTTTTAGTTCTCCTAATGGTATACTTTTTATAGGGTCCTCTATCAGGCTCATTCTCAGGACAAGAAGTGAAATGCACAGACGCTAAGGAGTATGTGGTGGAAAAAGAAATCTCATTGTGTATCCTTCTCAAGATTATTTACAAGGAATGAAGGCGTAAAGGACTGAAGTTCTTAGTAAGAAATTAAAGCAACATTAGGATATGAGGATTTTCTTTGAGTAAAGAAATTTTCTGTTTCATTTGAGACCCTTTCAGTTGCATATGACTGAAAACTTCTCCCAGAGTATCCTTAAAAAGGTAATATATTGGCTCCCATAAGCTGAGAGGGCTCCAATCATATCACCACAATCCGTGTCTCAGCTCAGTGTCCTATGGATTGGCTCCATTCTCATGATTCTTAGGATGATTCCTAGAAGCTTCCAGCTCACATCATCACACCATTCAGTTTAGGAATAAACAGAAATTGCTTCCCAGATGCCCCAAACCAAAGTCTTGGAACTGAGTTGGCCTGACCTGAGACACATGCTCATCCCTGAATCAATGGCTGTGGGCAGCATAATGGAATGGCCGTTGTCTTAACCTAGCATGTGTGGTCCCCCTGGAATCCTGGTGGAGCCCCTTCACTAGAAGCACTGGGGCTGAGGCTGGCAAGGCATGGTTAAGAAGGGGAGTGGAGGTGTGTGGCAGCATGAAGAGCGATCATTATCTGCTCAAAGCCACAGACCACAGGCAGGTCTCTTCTCTCAAAGGGCAGTTCTAGGAAGGACATTAAAAAGCCATGTGTGGCAATGTTCTCGAGCTTTAGGGTGTGTGTTAGTTTGCTAGGGTTTGCCTGTCTCACCATTGTATTTTAGAAGAAGATAACTTGCTTGGCTTCACAGGTTCACAGATGGAGAGGAATTTTGCCACAGGATGAATCATTCCCTGAATCTCACCAATAACAGATTTAGATGATATTTGGATTAGATTTTGGACTAAGAGTTGATGTGGGAATGGGTTAAGACTTTTAGAGATATTGGGATGGGGTGAATGTGTTCTGTATGTGAGAAGGACATGAATTTTGGGGGCTAGATGACAGACTATTATGGGTTCAGTTGTGTCCCTCTAAAATTCATACGTTAAAGTCCTAACCCCTAGCACCTCAGAATGTGACCTTATTAAAAAGAGGTTTGTTGCAGATGTAGTTAGTTAAGATGAGGTCAGTTGGGTGAGCCCTAAGGCAATATGTAACTGGTGTCTTTATAAAAGGGGGACATTTGGACATTTCCTTGCACACAGGGAAAATACCATGTAAAGATTGGAGTTAAGCTGCCACAAGCTGAGGAATCACCAGAAGCCAGGAGAGAGGCCTGGAACAGATCCTTCCCTAGAGTCTTCAAAGGGAACATGGCTCTGTCATAACAAAGTACCATCAACTGAGTGGCTTAGACAACAAAATTTCTTGTCTCACAGTTCTGGAGGCAGGAAGGCTGAGATCAAGGTGTCAGCAGGGCCTTGTTTTAGGACCACAGTGTTCTTTCCTCAATTTTAACTGGCTTTATTGTTATTACTTTTTTTATTTTAACAGAAGAAACAAAAGTGTCTGAAGATGAAATGGAGAAGCTCTACAAATCATTAGAGCAAGCTAGTCTATCTCCTCTTGGGGACCGACGACCTTCCACCAGAAAGGAGTTGAGAAAGTCCTTTGTTAAGCGGTGCAAAAATCCATCCATAAATGAGAAACTCCACAAAATCCGAACCTTGAATAGCACATTAAAGGTAAATAATTTCAAATTGTGGATGAACTCTGTGGATGCGTGATGAGGAATAGCTGGTTCTGCAGAGAGATTCATGTTAACCACAGGGTGTTTGTGAGGGTAGAGGGGATGGCAGTAAAAGCAGATACAATCTCTACAGGGTGAGATGACCCCTGACATTCTTAAAGCACTAGAACTTTCACACGATAGCATCCAACACACTTTTCTACAATAGGCCTTGATTTTTACGTTCATTCTGGTATAAAATTTCAGATGTTAAGCTCCTAGAAGTACCATGTGTAATTTGATTTTTGTGTCCTTTTACCTAGCTCAATAAACGTTGACGGGAGCTTAAGATAGTCAACTCATGAGAATAAGCAGTAATATTAATAAGATCTTGAGATTTCTCCTGATTCATTAAGGGTGTCATTTTTCTGTACTATATCCAGAAGAACATTTCTAGATTTCAGATACTGCAAAGACTTAGTGACTCTGAGCTGTGGGCTCTGGAGCCAAGAAATACCATGAAAACCAGGCAGTGGGAAATATACACTTCATGGTAATACACCAGCAGATGTTTTCACAATGGGAATGAGGGACAGTGCACGGGACATACTGAAGTTATTTTCAGGGCCTCCTGTAACTAAAATGATTCTTCATAACAAAAGCATCCTGCTTTCACATTTAGATTATATATGAACAGGAGGAGGCCAATGTACATTGTAAAATTGTTCTGAATTAGAATTAGTCTTTAATTAGATTTATAGATTCTGAAAAGCCTTGATAGATCCTGCAATTTAATTCTGTTTTGTACATGTCCTATTGCATCAAGAATTTGAGTCCTTTTCCAGGAAAAAAAGTACTAGCAATCAAAGGACAAAGCTACAGAGATGGCTGAGTGACTCTTCATCAGATGTCTCAGTTAGTCAATAGAAGACCTAAGCACCCTAAAAGGCTGCAAAAATTAGGCTGAAAAATAAAAGGCAAAGGTGTATTTTAATTTTACAAAGAAAATCCAAAGGCAGAGAAATTCCCTAATATTTAATGGTGAAAGACATCACTAGCATGGATTTCAAAGCAAATATGTTATTTTCCACAGTATGTATAGGGCTGATAAATATGTTTGGTCATCCAACATAATATGCCAGAGTATGTTGGGATTTTACTGTCTTATTTGTGATAACTGATATGAGTGAATACATTTTTCATTGAACAATGGTTTCCTGAACCTTGTTGTGTTCCAGGCACTATTCTAGGGCACTGGGGCCATTGAGTGGACCCCACTGGACAATGGAAACAGTTAGTACTGTAGTTGATACAAGATTGGGATGCTTTGGTAGCCAAGAGGAGAGATGTGGCTGCTTATCTAAGGCCATTAGGGACAATGTCATGGAGGTGCTGACAACTGTAAGTTGTCACGGGTAAGAGATGAAGAATATCAGGGAGAGAAGGGAAGAGCATTCAAGGAGGAGGAGCTGGCCTAGGCAAATGTATATCAGTGGGTGAGATATTGCAGTCCATGTTGACAGAAACAGCAACCAGAGGCTAAGGAGAGGATGGGCAGTTTAGGCCATTTCTAGAAAGAGAAAGACTGCAGTCTTGGCTTTCCATAGAGCGGCAGTCTCAGGATTCTAGACCTTCACAGGACTATGCCCTGACCTGGCCATCAGAAGGCCAGGTTTGTACAAAGAATTCAAAGGTTTTATCAGCCCATACAGTTCTCCGTGACCTCTTTCTCCATGAGCTATGACCATGGAATTGATGAATTCAGCATCTTTTTCTTTTCTCCTCTGTATTAGTTATCTATTGCTAGGCAACAAAATACCCCCATTGGGGCCATCTCAGGGCTGAGGAACCCAGCTGAGGAACTGCTCTCTTTGTACGTTCCTGGAAAGAAGACCTTTCCAGAGATCCCTCAGGCCTCACAAAAGTGTAATACTGGGGCTGATGAAATGTAACCCATGTTACGTGGTCCTGTGAACCTCCTCAGGAGGTAGGAGGCCACGCTGATGTGGAAATTGGCCTTGTTGAAAAAAAGAAAAAAAGCACATCAACGTACTCATTGGAGAAAGATAATTTGATACATGTATGTTTATTCAGTCAAAATGCTATAAGAATTATTTTATTTTAACTATCTTTAATTTTAACTGTCTTCAAAATTCAAAGCAGTCAGGTTAGTGGTTGCTTTTAAGGAGGAAGGAAAGATAAGTTGGGAGGGGCCACAAGTACAGCTTCTGAGGTGCTGGGTAAGGGTCCTTTTTTTTCTTTCAATTATTTTATGGAGGTCATATTGGTTTATAACTGTGTAATTTCAGGCATACATTATTATATATCACTTTCTGTATAGACTGCATCGTGCTCACCACCAATAGACTAATTTTTATCCATCACCATATATGTGTGCCCCTTTACCCTTTAAGGGTCCTTATTTGACCTTGGTGGTGGTTACAAAGATGTGTCCATTTTGTGGTAACTCATCAAGTGCAAACTTATTATATATGTGCTTTTCTCTATGTATGTTACATTGCAATATAAGTGTTTATTTAAAAAATACTTCAAAGCTGGAGTGTGGACAGGCAAAGACAACAGAGTTTCATGCAGCAACAAGGAAACTGTTTTAACAATAATGTTCATATTTGTGAAAGGCACATTCCAGAAAGAAAGAAAGAAAAATCCCTGCACTGGGATTGTATTGGAATGAATGCTTTTTAGGGGAATTCTTCTAGGAAGTTGAGCAAACTATCATGTCATTCACTAAATGTAGAGCTTTAGAAATTTCTGATAGCTCAACATCCTCTGACTTTGGGCTAAGCCTGTCTTTATTAAATGAATGATTAATGAAATGATTAATGGGTCCAACTGAAACGTTCTCTCAGGGTTACTCTGGCCTGTGTCAAAAGAGGAACAAACTACTTTTCCCCCAAACTGCTTTGGTAGAACATATTTCCAATGCTTAGTTCTTGAGTCAAGCCGTGTACTGAGTATTTGGAGTGAAAAATGAAAGTACAGCATTCTCTGTCTTATGGTATTTTTGGAACCCCTACCAAACCCTGCCTGCTTGCCAGAAAGGAAGGACAATCTTGTAAAAGTAGTTCAAAGCGTTTGGTGAGCCTCTTAGGAGGCTCCATAGGGGAGAGGCAGGGCCCTTGTGTAATGCTGCCAATTCCCGGGGTGCTGGGTCTAGGAAGGAGCTCAGAAAGTTCTGTTGTTTCATTAATTTCCTTCCTCTCTATTCTTGTCTACAGTTTTTTCTTTTATCTATAAAAGAGCTAATGCAGACTTGAGCCAAAGGCTGGGTAATTTGAATTGTTTGGAGCTAAAAACCATAGGAGTGTTAGCCCAAAGTGGAAGACACCCTTTCCTCAAACCTTTTATCAGATTTAGAGAGTGGCTAATTCATGTTTGCCTTTAAAAAAATAAATTCTCTAAATTTGGTTAATCTGTGAAGATCTTATTTTGTCTTTTTCAATAAAATATTAAGATCTCCCTCTGAAGCGGATGTCAAAATTTCTTAAGAACAAAGTAGAACTCTTTAAATAACTTCATATGAATAGCACTATGGCGATAGCAGAGGATGAAAGCATATTATTTTCTTTGGAAAATATTGTTTTCTGAAGCATCGAAATTGAGAACTCAGAGAAAAGAAAGAAAACTCTCTTGGCCGTGCTTGGCTTTCTACCAGCAATCCTTCCTGGAGACCCACTTACTTACTCTTCTTTTCCTCTGCTTCTGGGTCCTGGTCAACTGCTTGTTATTCCTGTTTGGTTACTTTCCCACTGCACAATTTTTCTCTCCTTCCTGAAATCCAAATATATCTTGTGACTTCCATCTATCACCACATGCTTGCTCTCTTGATTCAAAATTATAAATCTCACTACTCAGACTACTATATGTGTGGTATGTTCCCCCTGAAATCCATATTATTCTGACCAATTTAGAAACAGGAAAAGAAGAAAAAAGAAAATGCAATAAAACAACCCAAACGAAACATAAGTTAAAGCTAATTGTAGAGAACAAATAATACATTTGTATGCCACTAATGTATGTAATCATCTAGGACCAGATGCCTCATTTGGATAAAACATATACAGTCATGCATTGCTTAACAACAGGGACACGTCTGAGAAATGCGTCATTAGGCAATTTCAGTGTTGTTTGAACATCATAGAGTGTACTTACACAAACCTAATTGGGATAGCCTACTATAGGCTATACCCCTACCTAGGCTATATGGTGCTAACTTTTTGGGACCACTGTCGTATATGCAGTCCGTTGTTGACCGAAACGTCTTTACACGGTGCATGACTGTGCACGTGTATATATATATATAACATTTCTGTTTGTTTTTTTATGGAGAGGACGTCCTCAGATTCTACTTAGGGTTCATGATGCAAAAGAGATTAAAAAGCAAATGAGTAATTTGTTCATTCATTCATTTCTTATTTCATATATTCATTTTCAACAAGTATTTAGTGAATGTTCAGTGTGTGTCAGTCATTCTTTCACTTAGGGTTATAGCAGTGGGCATATCAGACAAAAATTCCTGTTCTCATGAAGCTTACATTTAGGTAGAGGAAGAAATAAACAAAATAAAGAAGCAAATTTGATAATATGCCAAGTGATGATAGATTTGATAGAGAATAGAAGAGGGGTAAAGAATGTTGAGGGATTGATTTTCAATTAGGATAGGCATGAAAAGCCTCTTTGAAAGATGGACTTTGAGTAAAATCTGTAAAGGGGAAGGGAGTGAGCCTTGAGGCTATCTAAGGCAGGAAGTTTCAGGCAAAAGGAACAAAAATGCAAATGCCTTGGGATAGGAGTATGCCTAGCAGGTTTAAGGAAGAGCAAGGAGGCCAGTGTGGCTGGAGTGTAGTAGGATGGAGGACAGGGCGAGCAGCAGTGGGTCAGAGGGGCGATAGGGGATCATATCCTATAGTGCCTTATTGCCATTGCAAACACCTTGGCTTCTACTTGGAGTGAGATAGGAAGCCTTTGGAAGGTTCTGAACAGTGGTGTGCCATAGTTTGACATATTTTGAAGGTAGAACCATCAGGATTTGCTGGTGGATTGGGAGTGAGAAGAGGAATCAAGGATGACTCCAATGTTTGGCCTGAGCAGTTGGAAAGATGGAGTTGCCATTAAGTGCTTTGTGGAAGACTATGGTAGGAACAGGTTTCAGTGTGTATTGAGAAATGGCGGGTGTGTGGGTGTTCAGAATAAGAGGAACTTAGTTTTGGACATGTTATATTTGAGATGCCTAATAGGTGTCCAGGTGGATCTGCTAAAGAGAAGTTTAGATAAACAAGTATGGAGTTCAGGGGAGAGGTAAGGCTGGCAAGGTAAATTGGGACCCTCAGTATACAGGGAGAATGGGAGAGAGTACACAAGATTACCAAGAGCATGAATGTAGACAGAACAGAGAAGAGGCTAACAGCTGAAGCTCTGGGGAACCCCAATATTAAAAGATTGGGAGACAAGGGTGAACCAACAAAGGAGACTGAGAATAAGTGGCCATTGTGGGATGAGAAAAATCAGGAGAAGGTGTCACAAAACCAACATGATGAAAGCATTCAAGAAGAAAGAGTAGTCAATGGTTTTAGATGCTGTGGATAAGTCAAAGATGAATAACTGATTATTGGATTTAGCAACATGGAGGTCATTGATGGCCTTAACAAGAGCAGTTTTGGTGGAACAGCGGGAGAAGAAGCCTGATGGAAGTGGGTCTATAAAAGAATGGGCACAGGGACATTGGAGACAAGGAGAAAAGTGGAGCATTAGCTGGAACAGGGATGTGGGGTCAAGAGAGGGCTTTTAAGATGGGAGAAATAAGAATATGCATATATGCCAGTGAGAATGATCACGTGGAGATGGGAAATTGATGAGTCATGGGAAAGAAAGGAGGATTGCTGTGAATTTCTTGAGTTTGTGAGAGGGGCGATAGTGCACAAGTGAAGAGATTGACTTTTGCTAGAATCACAGATATTTCATCCAAATGAACATGAAGGAAGGTAGCAATATATTTGTGCTGATGTAGGCAGTGGGCAATATGAACTTGGGTGAAGTACTATTCTGACTGTTTCCATTTTCGCCAAAAATAGACAACAAGGTCATCAGCTGCAAGTGAGGTCGGGGAAGGAGGTTTGAGGAGAGATGAGAAGTTTGGAAATAGTATTTGGAAGAGTGGGAGAGAATAGGGGCGAGAAAATGTGATTACTGATAGTAGTGAAAGTCCATTAATGGCAGTGGTCATGACTTTGAACTGCAATCAGTGAGCTAAGTTGTGAATTCTCAGCTATGCCCATGCCGTCCTGGGGGTAGGCAGAGAGATTGGTTCAATAATGAACATGTATTGAGTGTCTGCCTGGCCCTTGGCATAGTGTTAGGCACAGGGAATATGGGGATGAATAAAATGTTTCCTGTCACCTTCCTTGTGAAGCTTTAGAACAGGTGGCATGACAGATCCAGGAGCATCTAAGTATAACATGGTAAGTTCTAAGAGGGATCTAAGTGTTAGAAGGCATGAAAGCATATAAAACAGCTTCTCAGTCCTATTTAGTGGTTCAAAAAAGATTTTCTGGAGAGCAGGATGCCTGAAGTGAGTACAGATTCATGAGTTACAGTAAAATCCGGTAAAGAAAAATTGGAAAGTGTTCCAGATGAAAGCAATTCTAGGGATTCATGTTCAGCAGGTGAAGAAAGGTGAGGAAAGTTCTCCATGCGGCACATCATGGAGGTGTGAACCAGCATTGTAGGGGGAGAAAATTCACACCAACACTATTAAAGTGAGAAGTAAGAAGGAAGTGGAAGGTCAACAAATGGAGCTCAGGTCATGGAACCTTGGACTTGAAGGGGAACCCTTAAGAAGACTCAACGTTTTAGGTGGATCCCCTGCACTGCCATGTGGAGGGTGGATTTAAAGTGGAGGTTGGAGTCAGGGACCTCACTTAGGAGGCTGTAACAGCCAATGTCATATATTGGACTTTATATCCAAAATTAGCATTATGGTCATAGGCCTGGAGGAAACAGGAATAGATTTGAGATAAAATTGTCAGAGCTAAGTGATTTTTCTTTGAATGCTGATGCATCTCATTTTTACTCTATTCCTTAACTACAGAAAACTCCCCTAACCTAAGCCACACCTTTCAGAAATGTGTGTCATTGGTTATAAAGGAGGCAGGGTGAAATAATATGATTGTTTACTCTATTAGCATCACTGGAATACATACTGTTTTGATGGAAGATTAGTAATCTCTTCTTTGGATAAAAAACCTGTATATTTATTGTGCATATATTCATTAAATAAACATGTGTGATTTATTTAAAACTTAAGATAATTTAATAAACACAAAATTGAAAAAAGATATATTTTTTATTATCTTATGTCTTAGGTAAAGTACTATGCCCCAATTTTACTTAGTGAAGTTTGGATGGTCCATGAAATGATTATACAATTATAAGTTTCAGGAGGAATAATACCCACACAGAGATAGAAATGTTGCTATGGAGTGGAATAATGGACTGATGAGGAAAGAGTAACATGGAAGACTTTGGCAAATGTCTAGTTCTTCCACTAACTCTTGGGTGGGATACTTAACTTCTTTTTGGCTAGCATATGTAAACAAACGTCCTGCTATATCTCTTAGGACGGGTGTAGGGATTAGAATATTAATATGTAAAAACACTGTGATAATTTTATGATAAATGTATATGTGCATTTATTTGTAAAAGGGCTGGAGATGGTTTATTGAAATTAAGATACTCACTACATCCCACTCTCTCTTCTTTTTTTCTCTACTTGGACAGTGTAAAGAACATGACCTGGCCATGATTAACCAGTTGCTGGATGATCCGAAGTTGACAGCCAGAAAATACAGGGAGTGGAAGAACATGAACACCCTGCTGATCCAGGATATCTATCAGCAGCAGACACCTACGTCTGCCCCTGAAGGCAACCCCGAGGGACTCGAGAAACCACCTTCTTCTGCCTATGTTGAACATTCTATCTGAGAACAAGCCAGGATTCTCTCCTGTTATATCTTACCCCAAGCAACTCTTCAAGAAGTTGCAAGACCTTATATTTTTCCTTATAAAGGAAAACTGAAACCCAGTTTCTCCTGAAGCATCAGCCCCCCAATCTAAAGATGCCACTTAGGTGAGGACCAACTTCCATACCAACAGGACTCCCCGTTCCTGTTGTAGAGCTTCCATTGACTGGAGTGATTGAGTCCAAGTGAACAGTTTTTGTCTTCCTACTGGGAGCTCTTGGTTATGCTAAGCTCTAGGTGGGATGGGAGAAATCTATCTTCTGTTCCTTGCTCTCAGGAGAATTACAACATTCCATGGACAAAAGGTCACTTTTGACCAGGCATTACTATTCACAGAAATGTTCTGTTTTCCGGAAAGAAGAATGTACATATTCCACCTGATTGGGTAGCTGAGTTCTCCAAATCATTTTTTGGATGGAGGAATGATTTCTGTAGCAGGAACTGGAGCAGGACAATTGTGGTATTGTGGAACCAAAATCCCTTGCCCTTGGTCCAGAACGGTGGTGCCTTTTCCAAGTGTTGAGAAATATTTTGTAGCGAGCAGTGTGTGGGAGAGCCCAAAGAGTAGGCGTGTTCTGTGTTCCACTCACTCAAAGGACAGCCTGATATTTTCACACTTTACCTAGGTTGGGGGAGGATCTGATTAATGTTTTCTTTCCATAGAATAGCTAAAGGAAACCATCTCATTACATTTGGAAACCTCTACTCCCTCCTAGCTTTTCTGGAGGAGATAGTCATGAGTCCAGCCAGGAATGTGTGCTGCCTTTGGTTTTGGGCGTGGTGCGTATGCACAGTATAAATTTATATCTGGGTTTCCCAGGACCAAAATGATTGACAAGATGATTCTGGTGTCTGAATTGTTTTAATATCTTTACTCCAAAAAGAAAAAACCCAACAAAAACAACAAAAGAGTTAAAACATGATTGTTTTATTTTTGTATGTTTATGTGTCATTTTGTGTCCTATGTGAATAGCTATATATAATATGTTTGTTATTTAAGTATATTTATAGAAGTTCAAATTACTAGTTTTAAAAGATGATGTACTATTATATGTTTTGCTCAGTATATGTTTCAAAGTATATACTTTTTGCTTGAGAAAAATAGGAATAATATTGATTTGTTGGAGTTATGTTGCACTATAATGTATGAAGAATGCTCAGGAAATCTTGTGGGATAAATGTGGGGCATGCATTAATAATCTTGCATTTTCTGGCCTCTCTCTTTTCTCTCTTTCTCTCTTTCAACCCAGAGAGCTTAGATTTCTCTATTTGTCATAAGCCACTGTCTTAACCAGAAAAGGACTTTCTTCTTAGGTTATCCTTTCTAGTAAATAAACTTTAAGCTTTAAGCCCTTTATGCTCACAAACCCAAACCAAATGAAGCACAACTAATGTAGACTTTTGACTAAAGACTAATAGAAAATTTGGGGTTTGTTGTTAAAAAGAACTCATTTTATTAGAGAAACAATATGAAAGCCTTCACTTGCTCGTCACCATGAATATTTCTCAACGTAAGGATAACCACAACCCATCAAAAACCCATTTTGGCTTGACCTCTAGCAAATCGTCAGCATAACACAGTTTACTTTGTAGCATCAAAGTGTGTGGCTTGACATTCAAATGGAAATAACCCCCTGAATTTTATCTGCAAACTAAATGGAAATAGTTGTTGAGTATTTTTCCAACCTTTATTAAAAAGTCTTAAAACTTTATAAACAAAAAACAACCTTAGCATTAAGAAAGGGAAAAACAGGAAGCAAGTTGTAGCACTGGAAGCTTCTGTAAGATAAGAGGCCATGTCAGCCAGGTTGGCCCAGCACACATTCCTACACCAAGTGGAATGTGCTGGGTCACCCCACAGACTATACAGAAGAGGGCACCTGACCCTCGGTGAGTCTACTGTTGACACTGCACCAGAGAGAAGTAACCATTCAGGTCCTCAGCTTGGACCCTGAAGCTTCTGGTTTGAGAGGCCAATGCTTTAATCTCTTTACTCTGGAAATTACCATTGATTCTTTCTGTAATTAGCATCTATTAGAAGGTTGATTGTTTAGGATTCACAACGTAAACAAAGTCAGTCGTTTTTCAAAGCCAAGTTAGTCTAGAAGTTTTCGCTTTGTTAGTTAAAGCAGTTACTTTGCAGAACCTCCCAAAGTGAAAGTTAAACTGAATTGCACAATTTTTTGCCCTGCTCTTCTAGACCAAACTTGCCTGCTCATCAGTGTTTTCGCCTCTGGAAATGCTTTCACTCTGTATTATGAGTTTCCACCTTCAGCTGTAAGAGGTGGGGGGTGGGGAGGGGTGAGAGTGGGAGACACTTTCCATGACACTCAGTCTCTCTTGGCCTCAAGCCATATCTCCAAAGGCTATTGAGAAAACTGGATTACTTCCAGTTTATTCCTGGGGATTGGGCCAACTCTGAAATGGATTTGGGTTAGTGTCACGGCATCTAAGGGGAGACTCCTATGCCCATTGCTGTAGCCATGGGGTCTGAGGGCTGTGGAATAACACAGAACCATAGCTGCTCAGGAAGGAAGTGGAGAATCTCTGAGCATAACCAGGTCTAAACCTGCTGTGGATTAGAATCCCAATTGAACTCCTCTTTGGGGTTGCGGGGAGGCCTGCTTCTGTCTATTATTAGCCTGTAGACCGTGGTGCCCGACATGATACCCTCACCAGCTGGTACATGGCAGTACATGCTGAATCGTGTCCGGCACTTGAAGGGCATCTGTTGCTTTTAATAATTCTTGGTTCTGCCACAATCTCAGCTTAGCATTAAAGGCCTAGAAAGAATCTAAAGCATACTGTTATAAAGACTCCAGGAAGCCTGAGAAAGAGATTGTGTTTGGAGTCAGATTTCAATGTGAAACTGATGCCTTATATTTACCTAGCATGTAGTTTGCAAATTGGTATGTTTCAGGCTTCTGCCTCCACCTCCCCAGTGATCTTTGAGGGATGATTGTGGATCATCATTCCTCCTTTTGAAGAGGGAAGAAACAAGCTCTGAGAAGCCAGGTGCCTGGGTAGAGCCCTAAGTGCTGCAGCCAGGACTTGAACTTGAGTCTTGCTCTTTCCTCTCCTTTCACCTTGCACAGTGGCTGTTGGGAGCCAGCAGTTTGACATGGAGTGTGCATGCCATTGCTCTGAAATGGGTACACGGCCATGGTGGCTTCTGTGAAGTCATCCACTGGAAACCTGAGCGAGCCTCTTTCCTTTGAGAACAGTCTCTTCCTCATGGCCTGAAAGGTTACTGTCTCTCCTGTGGTGACCTGCTGCTGGGCTGACTGTGAGTTGGGGTTTAACCTAATCACTCTGTGCTTACTTTCCTTCCTTCCTTCCGTAAAGTATACTGCTTGTTAGGTGCTGTGAGATCTTTGGACCAAAGAGATATATTTAAAGACATGGAGCGCGTTAATTTTGTTTTTCTTTCAAAGCATGTCAGGAGATGTCAGAGACCCAGCTTCGTGAGTAGAGGTTAGGCTCTTACTTACTCTTAATTTCTTCTCATGTAATTATGATAATTTCCTCAGATAGCCTTTAAATCGCAAACAATATCATAGAGATGAAACATAAAAAGAAAATATACTTTTAAGTCTTTTGAAGAGAAGTGACATTGAGAGGTAGTATTTTGATATAGCCACGCAGATTTAGTGAGTAATTTAGGCACCGAGGGTGACCACCTGGAAGTCACTATATATTGAAGAGCTGCCACATCTGAATGAAGTTTTAGGGTGCATCTGTTCTTCAGTCTAACAGAATATGATGATATTTGATTGGGATTTTCCAATTTATTTCCCTTCTAATTTTTTTGTGTGCTTATCTCAAGAGAAATTGAGTTCTAGAAATGCGAGGTGACTGCCCTGCCTGGGGTTTTGTAATATGTAATTAAAAAGGAAAGCCCCTGAAACTAGATCTTAACAACCCCTATGAAATGGCTTGGGGAGGGGGAATAATTCCACCTCTCACAGAAAGCCGCCCATTTCAGTGAACAAGATATTGAACAGCTATGTGGTTATGTTATGAGACAAGAAGCAATTTCCTCGCCTCCTCTGCACATCTTTACTCTTCCCCATACACCGCAGACCACAGAGAAAACATTAAAAATGGATTCTACATTAAAAAAAATAGTTCTTCCATTTCTCTTGCTGTGAGGAGACTTAACTTGCTCTGTATTGATTTTTTTTTTTACCTTTAGTCCAAAGAGGAAGCATGCCCTGTGGAGAAGTTTAGCATCCCATAATAAAACCCAGGATTTTAACTCACCATCACCACACATTTTAATGTCCTTGCATGATGGGGATGTGACTTTTAGCACTGCATGGTGTTTGGGGGCAAGACGTTAACGTGGAAGTGATACCTTCAATTTCATTGTGTTTTCGTTATCTGTCACCTACCTTCTTTGACTAAACTGAAAAAAGGGGCATGGCTCATTTCTCTTGCTTTATGTTTTTGAGGTTGACTTGTAAGAAAAAAATAAAAACAAGAGAGACTATATCTAGTAAAATGACATGGAAAAAACTGGAAATATACTACTGGTGTTCATTTTCTGCCCTGCAATGTGCCTTCCTCAAAGAAAAAACTCCCTGGAAAGCGTTTGATGGTTGGGCTTTTATTGCTACAAAGGTTATAGTGCCCTCTGGTGGCAGTCACAAAAATAATTGATTCTAGACTGGAGACGTTTTTATTTTTAAATAAAGGATCTAATTATATAGGGAAACCTATTTTAACAAAAACTGACGCAGTCTTCTCAAATGGCCCTCAGTTTACAGATTTATTAGTAAAAAGATATTTATATTTTTCAAAATGGTCGTTGGTCCACAACCTTCAACTTGTGCATTATATTCCCCTTTCCATGACTAGGTACCCAGACTTTTTTCGAGGATGTTTTAAATTAGCAGATTATAAAAGTTACGAACTGTGGCATGTAAGTTCCTTAAAACACATGAGATATTTCTGTGAAAAATAAACAAAGATAATACTGAAATAGAATAATAAATTACTTTTATTTTGGATCCATAGACCAGAGGAAGTTAGCCTGCATTTGAACTTGATTCATACCTCCTTGATGGTTGTCCACACAAAGTGTTTTCGTTTTTTTCCTCTCTCTCCCCCTTCTCGCTTTACATGCTGAACTCCACTGTCTTTTTCTCCATCCAGCCACCATCAAATATGTCTAGATTCCCACATGGAAGCAGTAAAGAATTATTCTAGACCAAAGGGATTAACAAAAGGCATAGGTACAGTGTGTTCCTGATTTCTGGAACAACCTTCTGTTAGTTTCCTATTGCTTCTGTAACTAGTTACCACAAATTTAGCAGCTTAAAAAATATGTTTTCTTACAGTTCTGGAGGTTAGAAGTCTGGGGCTAAGATTTCCTTGGGTGGCATTCCTTCTGGAGGCTCCAGGGAAGAATATATTTCCTCGTCCTCTCCAGGTCACCCCCTTTCTTTGCGTTTGGTTCCCTTCCTCCACGTTCCAAGTCAGCAACATCATATCTCTCTACACCTTTCTTCTCTAGTCACGCCTTCCTCAGACTGACTCTTTTAAGGACCCTTGTGATTACATGGAGCCCACCTGGAGAATCCAGGAAACTCTGTTTTAAGGGTAGCTGATTAGCAACCTGCATTCAGTGTGCAAATTTAATTCCCCTTTATAACATATACACAGGTTCCAGTGAGTAGGACGTGGTCATTGTTCTGCCTACTGCAAAAGTCCATTTCAAATATCCTGCTTAGTATCCCCAACCATCAATTTCTCCCAGAAATTCCAGGATTTCCAAGTTTTAACTACAAGCATGAAAGTCCTTTGTCGTACCATGTGACTTGAATTTGATTTCATCAAAATATGGATCCTCATAGGAAAGTAATTCCATCTTGATGAGGAGAAAAGCAAAAAATTTCCTAGCTTTTAAAATCACACACACACAGGTGTAATAGGTAGGGCATTTTAGCAATCAGATCATTTTCTAACAATAAAATATGCAACAAGTAACATATTTTAGGAAGTCAATTTTGAGAATCAAGTGTCATAAAGCAAAGGATAATTTAGGTCTGAAAATCTTAGATTTAAGAGATGCTCTGTGCCACGTCAGACTGACCGAGGGGTTTGGCCAAGTCGCAGCTTCCTCTCCCACTAAAGAGTGAGGAGACTCTTGTGAGTGCGTGTTGATTTCAGATGTACGATAAGCATAGAATTTCCATAGGTGCTGGCCTTCGTAAATCACAATCTGAGCATTATATTTGTGTTTTCTCTTTAAAAAACCAAACAGACCTGTATTTGTAGGTAATTCCTTGATGCTGGTCTGTTAGTTTTTCCAGTCATGTATTTTAGGAAGTCATAAACACTCTACCGACACTGAAGTCTCCGCTGAGCATGTCTTGACAGTTCTGGCCAGAGCAAGAGGTGTAGGGAAGGGACAAAATTCTCAGGCAAACAGGGTGCCTGGACATTTAACCAGTCATTATCCTAGAGCCAAAGGTTATTGTGGATGCCATGGATGTCTGCCCAGATCCTTCAGCGGGCCAGAGATTTCATTCTCCCATTGCTATGAGGTTTGGCAGCTAAGAGCATCCCCTTTTTCCAGAAAATCGTCCTCAGGTAAACCAGAGCCCCTCAGACCAGGAGGTTATGCTCCCCATTCCCAACCAGGGTGGCTGCAGCCAATGACTGACTGAGGCCAGATGGCAGCACTTAACAGTCATAAGCAAAGTAGTCAGAATTACTGTAATGGGGGCAATGTTGG